ATAGTAGGTAGGTAGATAGTAGGTAGGTAGTAGGTAGATAGATAGGTAGGTAGATAGATTGGTAGGTAGGTAGACTTACAGATAGATAGGTAAGTAGACAGACAGACAGATAGATAGGCACACATACTGACAGAGGAGCACACACACGCATGTATCTATATTTGTATGTGTGTGTGTACGAGACCCTTACATGTATGTGAACACGTAAATGTGAACACAAAACACACACACACGAGGGAACATGACAGGAAAGACAAGACGCTGTCATACCTGCGCTTGAAAGATCGTACACAGGATGGTGACACAGTGATGAACGTAATTACGCATGTGTATGTTTGTAATTTTTTTACAGTGAACACGATAACACGTTTCCGTTTGTAATTCTTAATGTGCACACGTCTATTATTTTATATATTCAGATGGTAAATAAAATAATGTGGTTCTTGTCTTATAGAAAGGTGAACTGATCCGGGAAGGAATAGCAGTATTCTCTTTCTCACCCACGATGATGAGGATAATGATAATGATGATAATGATAATAATAACGATAATAATAATGATAATGATAATAATAATGATGATGATGATGACGATGATGATCATGATAATGATAATAATGATAACAATAATAATTGTAAGATTAATAATGATTACGTTAATTTCATCATTATAATCATTATCAAAATTATCATCATTAGTATCATTATCATTGTTATCATTTATCATCATTATAACCCTTATTATCATTATCATTATTACTTTGATCACTATCAACAGTGTTATGCTGTTGTTGTTGCTGAAAATAGTGCACCTTCACCGTGTGTCCAAATATCTACTCTATATCGCCTAAAGTCAGGCCTCTGTTTGTGTGTGTGCATTCGCCACTGAATACTGTAATGTTTTGTCTTGGAATATTCATAAGGATGATGTTTTACAATACTATGAAAGCAGGATTCAGGTCTTGTATCTTATTGAAAAAAGAAAAGAGATATATATATATATATATATATATATATATATATATATATATATATATATATATATATATATATATATATAATGACAGGCATAAACTTGACCATTTAGTACATGTATAAAGAGGAGACATTTATTATTTTCTGTGGCGCAGAGACTGTTCTCCAAGCGTTCAGCTCTTCCGGAGAAGAACAAATAATGTACTTATTCGATTATGATACATACATGACCTACACGTAATTATACTCTAAACCTATCCCTTTCTGTGTGTATTTTTGCATCTGGGTATCAGCTATACATAAACATATCCCCCATCAGCTATACATAAACATTCTTTATAATGCGAATATAAACTTTCGACCACCTCTTGTTCCGCTTTCAAAGCTTTTCACAGAATCCAATAAAGGTTTATTTATTCTCATTCTCGAATTCAGTTTATCTTTATTGATGCCACGAATGATTAATGATTTTTCCCAACGCAGGTGTGAAATTGCTAGTGTCTTAAAAACGAGTGTTACAAGACACCACTAATATAAGGTAAACTTGATTTACAATTATCATTTTAATATTTCATTATGTTTTGTACAAATATTGTAGGAGCATATGATCTGTTGTTTTTATTTTGGTGTTGCTTTCATAAATACCACAGCGTAGTATATCGTGTTAACATAGTCTTAGTACTGCAACAGTTTCAGATTCGTCACCAGTTAATGCTACTAGTCTTTCTCGTTATGAATGATTGTGCTTTTGCTGCATTTCGAGAAACGTAGTGACTCGCCCCTTTTTTACGTATGTGAGGTGGATAAGTTGAAACACATGAAATCGATGAAAATAGAAACATTTTCTATATTTATTTCAATAAATAAACAGCCTTAAAACTACGCAACTAGGAGTGACCGCCCGCGTCAGGCGCGTCGGCCGTCGGGTCGGTCGAAGTGCGCAATGAGGCTGGACACGTCGGGTCGTCGGGCGTTGATGATGTCGACGATGTCGGGTCTGAGGGCCGCGCTCCCCACCAGGAAGCCGTCCAGGTCCTCCAGCTGAGCCAGCTCTCGACAGTTGCTCGACGAAACGGAACCTGCGTACAGGATTCTGGTGCTGTTGGCCACCTTGTCGCTCACGTTGGCGCGCAGCCAGTGTCGCAGCTTGGCCAAGGCCTCCTGTACCTGCGCAGCTGTGGCCAGGACGCCGGTATTGCTGGCCCACAGAGCCTCGAAGGCGATCACCACACGCGACCAGTCGCTGATGCTGGCGGCGAGGGACTTCATCTGGCCGAACAGGACGTCGTCCGTGCGACCCTCCTCGCGGTCCTCCGACGTCTCGCACAGACACGCGATTATCTGCAATTGCACATTAAGATCAATTAAATAATTCATGCATATCTAGAAAAACAAATTTCCATGTCTATCCCATTCGAGTCCTTTTAAAACATTCTCCTCTTAGAATAAAAGCAATGAAGAAAAGGCTGACCTTGATGCCAGTCTGCTGTGCGTGCGCGACCTTCTCGGCGATGAGTTGTCTGACT